TATAGTTCGTTGAATTATAGTCCCCAGAGAAGGAAATTGCCAAAGTTAATTTATTGTGACTGTGTTGGTTAAGAAAAAAGAAGCCTTTTTGTGTGTGTATGGCTTTTAACAGTAACTACCAAGTCTCAGTCTTGTTTTCTTTTTTGAGTAAAAATGTATCTCCTTATAGAATGCAGGTAAATGGGCAAATTTTCCCCAGATGTGTTTACTTAAAGCACTTACCACACACATGCATACCTCTCAGAATAAACTGCTTCCTGAAATGTCGGTCGTAATACTAGTGTTCTGGGTGTCCTTTAGTCTGAGGGGTGGTATTTTGGGGACCCCATTTCACAGAGGAGGAAACAAAGGTGCAGAGAGCTGTGGAGCCTACCCAGTCTCCCCACTGTGGGTGGCAGGTCAGTAGCCGGGGTGCAGCCCTGGCTCCTCACTATATATACCAGGACCAGGACCAGGACAGAGTTTTGAGCTGTGGCCCTGTCTCAGTGAAGTAATGTCTGTAAAATGTAATTCTGGTGGAAGTGCAGAGGAGTTCCCCTCACACATCTACTGTGTGTGCTACAACTCCCTTAGAAGGACGTTGCTTGTAATCCTGTGCTGGCTCCTTGCAGGTCCTGAGCTGCCAGGCAGCAGGTCCACTGAGGTCTCTGTGCAGAGTGCTGTGCAGCCCCTGCAAGTGTGGGAGCTGGAGCATAAGTACCAGCAGCTCATTTTAAATGTCCTTATTGATTGCCACATGCATTTCTGTACTGAGTTAATTTGGAAAAACAATGTTCCCTGGGCTTCCTATTAGATAGGATACTGACCTGTTTCCCTGTCAGGAATGTAGCAGTTGGGATATTGGAGTAAGGAAATCAGATACCCCAGCCAAAAAGGCTTTGGGTTTTACCCCACTCAGACTGGCTACAGTGGGACACAGCTGAAGAAGTGAAATTTGTGGGAGAGTTTGCCCCCACCTCCGTTAGCAGGTAGGAAGAGGACCCGTGGCTCAGAGCTGCACGGCCCCAGCACACACCCAGCTGACACCTGACCTGTCAGCCTTGCACTTCGATGGTGTCCAGGTGGGATGATGAGTTCTGTGGTTACATGGTTGGAGCTTCCTCACCTTTTGTGAGGTGCTGCAGCACTTGTGGCAGGCACACTCCTCTGAATCTGTGCCGGCCTCTGCCTCCACCGCGAGTGAATCAAGGGAGGAGGTGCCTCATGCATGTGCTGGCCACCTCATTTTCACTGTGTCCCCAACCCCAACAGGGACTTCCTGCACTCCCACCCAGAGGGTCACACCCCTTCCAGGCACTTCCTACCTCTTTCACTTTGTGAATCTGCATCTTTGCTCTTCATCAATGAATATGCATGAAAATACCAAGTGGGAGATGAATCAACCCATATTAAATTAATTTGTATATCAAAATTTGTTTTCCCATCAATATGTCTTAATTATTTGATTTAATAAACACATTTTAGCCAGAATTTTCTAAAAATCTACTTTATATGCAGAGGGAACTTGAGGTGAAGGAAGTAGGAGGCAAGCGAGATAGGTAGAGAATTGAAATGACTTTTCTTCTGTTTCTTTTATTAGCAGATGCATTACTTTTCTCAAACCTCTTTATAGTCTCTTAAATTTCTTACTAGAATTCAATAGGTAGATGATAGAGATTTTTTCCTAGAAAATTTTTTCCCCTGAACAAAAAAACATGCTTTAACCTGAAAACCCTGTGTATCCTAAAGGCTTGAGGTTGCCCTCGTTGGTGTGATCTTAAGACAGGTCACATTATCTGTGACCATAGTGAGGCTGGCCCTTCTCCCAGCAACATGATCCCAAGGCTAACACACTTGTTGGGCAGTTGAATTTTGTTAGGTCAGATAACAGAATCTGGAAGAAAACTTCAGATTGAACTGTAGATTGCTCTTGGAATGTAGCCTGAAAACAAGTTACAAGATGCTGCATTTTTTTTTTTTTGAGTTATCCTTAGTGGTGACAGAATTGTCCTTAGTGGTGACAGGTTTCTTATACTGTTTCAGGCCCTCTCTCCTCTCTTGGTCAGTAAACATCTGAAGGAAGGACTGGCTCCTGTTTGTATCCTTCAGCTTCAGATAAATCACAATGTATTTCAGAGGTATTTCTGATACATTCAGAAAAAGGCCAGAAAATCTTCAGTGCCAAATAGGTTAACAGAATAACTTAGGCAAAGCAGTTATATGTAAGTTTTCTAATGATTAAAATATAACAGTGTTAATCTTTGAGCATGTTACTATTATTTAGTTCTGTGCTTTGTGGTTTTAATCCCTATAGCAAGGGTTTCCAACCCTTTGAGAAGGGTCTGGAACAGCCTTTTTTATGCCAAGGACTTTGTTTTAGTGAAGGTAATTGATATAAAATTTAAGTGACAAATGTAACAGTTTTAGATGGATTTATCTAATTAATCATAAAAGCATCTATATCTCTTTTATATAAGTAGATATATTTGTAAGATATTTGTTTGCCCATCATACTGTTCTTGTTGCATACACATCGTTAAGTCCACTGTTGGGCTAATGTGTATTTTGTTTTGTTTTAGACTGTGAGCTTATAATCAGGCACATGCCATTTAGGGGAAAATCTCTAGGACTTAAGAGAGCACTGTGTGTAAATATGTCCTCTATGAATGCCAAGTGATTAAAAACACAATTCTAAGCTTCATCTGAGGACTGGCTGGTAGAAGGTTCTGCCAAATTCTTTGATGTTATTAAAGATAAATCTTTCTAGGGAGTTTATGTTGGAATTAAAATGAAAATAACTTGTCAGTCCTTTAGTTAAAATTTGTTTCTTTGGGCATTTACCTTATATCTTCATAAGGAAATGAATTAACCAAAGATTTTTGAAATAGAAATGGACATACAGTATATTAACTTTGCTGAATCGTTTAGGAGAAACTGATATTTTGTGTGTGTGTGTGTGTGTGTGAGATTTAATGCCTCTAAATACATTATTTTCATTTAGGTGTAATCACCAGTCATTCAAGTTAATTGTTAGCTTATTAAGACACTCAACCTTGGTTTATTGATGGATGGAAAACTAGTCAACAGTGTATTGAAGGTAGAAGGGATTGATGGACATTTGCTGATAAGCATGGAGGAAGACCTCTGGGTGAGGATTGTGGCTTTAGGGCCTGCCCCCTTCTGACACCCTTTCTTATCTCTCTGGGCAGGAACAAATATTCAGAAGCAGAGCCTCAGCATTATAGGATGGACAGAAAGAAGGCTCGGTTAAATATTGATATGGAGAAAAGCTGGAACAATCCAAATTTTAAACTGATATCTTGCTTCATTGATAGGAGTTAAGTCTTTCATAAATAAATTTACAGACTAGTTGGAAAACTTTGGCACTGCTCACCTGCTTGATATTTTTCCTGTTCCCTTTGTAATCATGTTCAATGACATGGCCAGATTTGGGTGACATAAGGCAGGTGTTCTGGGATGTTATTGTTTGTGATAGCTGACATCCACAGAGGCTTACCTTGTGTTTAATTAATCCGACGAAGGACAAGATCCTGTGAGTGTTCAGTTAGGCTGCCTCAGGCTGTACTTGGCCTCTGGTCCTGAGGGCTTAGGGTAACGGCACAGGCTACATACAAAGATGTTAGGTTTGAGTTGTATGGAGTTCACTGGTTTTCTGGTTGCCTCCTGCCTACATTTGTGAAATCTCACTGAAGCATTTGGTGGAACTTGGACTTTTTGGGTGAAGACACTACTGACTGCAGAGGGGCAGGGCTGCGCAGCCTGTGTTCCTGTGTAGAAAGAATCCGCTTCCCCAAGTCCTGTATTCCTTTTGGCTGTTGAGGCAGAGCAAAAAGCCATCGAATGCTCTTCTCCTAAATCATAGTCCACTCTTCTCACCAGACACTTTTTTTTTTTTTAATTTTTTAAGGTATGATTGATATATACTCCTATGAAGGTTTCACATGAAAAAGCAATGTGGTTACTACCTTTACCCATATTATCAAGTCCCCACCCATACCCCAATGCAGTCACTATCAGTGCAGCAAGATGCCAGAGATCCACTATCAGACAATTCTTAAAATTAATGTTTTAGTGGCTGGGGCAGAAAATACCTTTTCAATTACACTGTAAAAATCCCAGAGTAAAACTTTCCTACTTGAAAATACAGATTAAGAATATGTACCTGTAGTTTTATGTACTAGTCACTAAATAACACTAGACAAAAAACTAGAGGAGTCCCCTCCTCCTCCTGAGACTGAGCATGTGTGGCCAGCTGACGCCTTTGGAGCTGGTGCTGCCTGCGTTGAAGTATGGTTCTGCCACTGAAAACTTCCAGCTGCTGGAGGTGTAACGAACCTCACAGTTTAACTCGCTGGGCATGAAGCTCTTCTGTGTGCCCTGGCTGCACTAGGTAGCCAGAACCAGACAAGATGCAGGACAAAAGCCCTTCCCTCAAGTTTGCTTCTAACAGGGATGCTGACAAATCCTTAGGTAATAACCGGTCAGTGTGATAGGGTGAGGGGTGTCGTGGCAGCACAGGTATGGGGATGTGCACCACCAGTGAGGATTTGGCCCAGCTTCACGGAAGGGAGGGTCTGCTCTGAGTCTTCCAGGAAGACTTGGGAAGGTGCAGAGTGTATGAGGTGGTATTTCCGACTGGAGTGGGAGCAGCGTGTGGAAGTTCAGCAGTGAGAGAGGCTCTGTGTCACCTGCAGGAGATTGGACTCCCTGGAGTTGGGGTGCGGAGAGGGTAATGGATGGGGGTGGTGAGGCTGCAGGGGCCAGAACACATCAGATCATGAGAGATGTTGTGCCGCACCAGGGAGTTGGACTTTACTTAAAGGCACTGAGAACCCATTGATGAGTTTTAGGGGAGTGAAATGATGAGATGTGTGTTTAGGGGAGAGTGGCAAAATGGATCAGAGGGGGTCAGGTCATGAACATACAGATGGCTGGAGTGACCCACATGAGAAGAGCTGGCCACTGGGGGCAAGGGGACTTGGTGCTGGATCCAGGTGGTCATGGAGTCTGCAGTAGTACATGAGAGGACTGAGGGCAGGGAGAAGCCAGGTTTCTCGTTTGGCCATGGGGTGGACCATTTGGGAGCCAGGTGCTGCACTGGGACTGACCCTGTAGGGAACAGCTGTGGAGGAACCAGGCTGAGTTCAGGTGAGACATTTGGATGGATATGGCTGTGCCATAGGCGTGCAGGTGCGCACTCCTTTCCTCCAGTGGTGGCAGTCTCCTCCTTGGCTGACAAGACCCATCATAATTGTCTCCCCCGACAAATTCTAGATCTTACAGGGTGTCTTCTATTCTGATCCTTCTGGGCTGGTTTTTCTATACTAAGTGTCTGCCCCATAGAACTGAACACTGGTATATTGCTTTCCCAAAACAGACTGAGTTCACTAGAGCTTTCTGTACAAGCTGACCCTCTCCCCACAAATCAGAGCAAATCTGTGTACACTGAGCAAAGTGTTAGTATCACTAACTTATACCTCTTCTCTGTAATTGAAAACCTTTCTGTTCCCTTATTCTTTATGTAATAACCAAAAAGATACTAATGTAAAGGAAAAGGAGTAGAATCACAATATTTCCCAAAGTCTTTTCCAGGCTTCTTTTAGTCAACGTTGGATGATTTGATATAAATCAAATCATCTGATAACGGTGATCAAATTGTATCACTGTATCACTGTGGTTCACTTGATGCAAACTGAGTTTCTTAACAGGTCGGCTGAGAAGCTGATACTTATGTAAAGCTTAAAGCAAGTCTGAGGAGTAGGAAAGCATTACAGAACCCTATGTATGCACATATGTGTATGTATGTAGTTTAGGATGGGCAGCTGGAGTTCCAGAGCACAGCCTAGGTGAACTTCTCAGCCCTGCCTGCATCTCCTGACAAGCTCTAAAGGCAGAGAGAGATGCATGTATTCTTTCTCTTGGCATTAGGCAAACATGAGGATTAAGTTTTCTGTGCTGGTCCTTGGGGATGCAAAGATGAGTGGCACCTACAGGCACATTTTGCTTTTTTGAATTATGAGATTGTGAGATGGTAGAATCCCCTTTTATATATAGTATCACCACTTTTTTTGACTTAAAATATTCCTTTCTGTTGGTCTGTTATGGTTTTATTTAATTTCTAATACAGAACTACTGCATAATAATTAAAGCATGAAATGTTAAAAATTCTGCATTGTTTCATTTACATGAAAATATATGTAATAGTTCAAAAATATTTTTGTTACAGTTTTTTGGGTTTTTTTTGGTTTGCCCTCTGTTTTGTGCTCAAGATACTAAAAGCCAGAGAGCTATGTTAAATTGAAATGCCCTTAACTCACTTGAGTAAGTCAGACATATGCTTCTTTTTCATCCTTAAAGGTGTGATGTTACAGGCTATTGCTTCTAAAATGATGTGAAGAAATAAATTAACCAGTCTGGCAGTTACTATAACCATAAAGCGTATAAATAAAAATTATAGTGCTGCATTGTGGAACTCAATCTGTATTCCTGTGTGGTGGTCTGTGAACAAGTCCATATACCTAATATAAATAATAAATTCACTTTGTATGCGTCTCATAAACATTTTGTATGTGTGGATTATAGTTATATATTTATGTAAAATTAATACTAACATTGCATTGTTTTCTGTTAGTAAAAATGACATTTATACCATTTATTACCTTATCTTTTCCTCCCCTTAAACATTTTCATAGAGGATCCATGCTAGTTAAAATGCTTCCTTCCTATGCAACACTAGTTTAAATGCTTGCCCAGCTAAAATCCTTGATAGCACAAACATTGTGCCGCTGCGCCCCCCGCGCTCCCCGCGCTCTCCGCGCGATCTGTGACTAATCCTGCAAGCACTGCAGAGAAAGGCCCGGAGTCGGAACTGCCGACAGCCGGCCTGGAAAGGGTGACGTCACCACCATGTGCGCATGCGCGGCGCTGCTGCTGGCAGAGATTTATCCCCCTGTTCTTTGTGTTCAGAGGTGTACGCGCATTTCCCCTAAACTAATGAACAGAATTGGGTAATTACCACCAAGACTTGCTATTAATAGTAACCCTCCAGCTTACTATTTAATGTTACTTTTTTTGTGATTGTTTCAGAATGCTGCTTTATTAACGTTTTTTATTACTGCTACAACCTGCGTTAAAGTTACAGGATTTTGTTTTTTTCGTGTCTCCCTCTTTATTTTCCCACTTAGTAAATACTAAAGTAAGCTCGCTAACAGGTAAATGAGACTTTTGAAAATGGAAAAAATCCACAGTTTGTCTTGCGGATTGTCTTTTAAGGACAAATTCCAATACAGAAAGTGAGACAGAGTTCACAACAAGGCACCGGTTCATTGTATTCAGCGCAAGCGACCAATAAATAACTTTACTTCTAACACTTTTTAATCTTAAAACCACTTGACTATCTTAATTTGAAGATTATGTAAAATTTCAAACTAGTGAGTAGTACCTGCCAGTAGTCCTGGGAGAAATTAGTGATTTAAAAAAAATTAACCTGTGTTCAGAAAATTTTTAATCTGATTCATTTTTTAACTCACTTACTTCATCTTAAGTTTTTCTTGACAACTTATATAAAAAATGCTGTTGGCTAAACGTACAGTACGAAAACTTTTGCTCATTGTGAAAATATATCCATGATGCATTTTTTCTTCCTAAATAAAAGAATGATGTGTGTGTTGTTCCTTTTTTATTTGTTGTTTTTTAAAAAAATCTAATACCAAGGAAGTGACTTAGTGAGTGAGCATTCTGGTCAGCAGTGACTCTCTTCAAAAGGTATTTGTCAATAAAAACAATACAGCACCTCCTTACAGTCTCAGGGTAAAACTTGAGAAATTGATTTGACCAGTAGGGTACTAGGTGAAGTTTCAGACCATTGATTCAACTAAAATATTTTCCATTGTTGAATGGCAACTTGTGGAATGTTTCCTCTTGGGACAGAGAGGCTAATTTTCCTTGTTGTTTGTATAAATCATACTATAGGAGTGGCTGAACAATACCAAGCTTCTATTTCACAAACCTAAAATAGGAGTGCTTGAGTGGGATTTCGGGGGCAAGAAACTGGAGAGGTATATTGATTCATTTGTTTGTCCATTTGTTCTTTCATTCATTCATGCAGCCGTCCAGTGTTATAATGACTCTGCCTGGTCCTGTCTTAGGCATTGAGGTGTGCCTGGGAACAAGTCAGACCCATCCTTTTTCTAGCAAGGCTGATTCCGAAGAAGATAGAGAAAAACTGTCTTCTTTATGAGCAACTAATGCTAACCATTTGAAGAAATATGAGCTATTTGGGAGCAGGGATTTAAAAGGTATCTCAGGTCGACATGCTGCCCAAATAGCAATTTAAAAGGTGAAAACAGATTCAGTTATAGCAAGTAATATTATGCTGAAACTTGGGTTTGAGATTTTTTAATGAATACACTAAAACTGTAAATATTTGAGTTTAATCATTCTAGGAAAAAATGTTATTTATGTTGACCTAAAACTGGGAAAGAGCAAAGAAAATCGTCGAGCACTACCTACTTAAATCAGCAACGATAAAATCTAATTTTTAATCCACATCCTTTCCTGCCAATAGCATTTAACAAATGTTAATATCAGGATCTTAGAGTAATGGCAGCTGTTATGCATATGAACATTCTGATCAGATTCTTTGTAGACTTGGTTCAAAAGCAATTGTTGCTTGCTTTTAAGGAGCCCCCTGGGAGACCTCCTCTGTACCTGTGGGTAAGCCTGGCTGACAGCATCCCGCACTGTGTTCACTGTCTCCGGAAGCAAGCATTTTATTAAAATTCACATAGGTCTCTCTGTCTGAGATAGGGAACTGTACTTTAAATTTTAATTAGAATTCAGTCCTTCTTCACACTTAAGTGTGGGCTCTATGTAATTTACCAAGTGTGTAATTCAAGAAATGGGTACAACTAAATGTCCTCTGACTTTAGCCATTTGCATCTTTGTTAGTTACCGCCTTTCAAGTTGCTCTTCTTTTTCTGTCCAGTCTCTTGTCATTTTACCAAAATTCTCTTTGTAGCACTCCCTTCCGCCTATTAGTGGCATTTTCAAATTGCCTTGGTGGCACTGAGAAGTAAAATAGCTGCTGCCTCCTGGTCTGTGGCACAAAGATGTGGTCTGGAACCTCGGAAACATCACTCCAAGATGGCATTTGCTGGTGCCTTTCTCTGTGAGCATGGGAAAGGTGTGTGCTTTTCAGGGATAGGCATAGAGAGGTAAGTCTTTTTGTTCCAAGTTAAGGAATCACAGCCAGATCCTTTAATGCATAAGTAAGGAATGCAGTAGGAGTTGTCTTATCTGCAGTGTAATCTAAAATCAGTGGAATAGCACAGAAGTCACTTATCTGCAGTTTTGTTTTTTTTAGTCACACACTGTTTTCATAAATAGCTCTTCAGGGCATGGAACAGAATCTGCCTTTGATCTGAGGTCATTTCCTGGCTGAGTTCTTCCTGCTTTTTATTGAAAGTTAGATGATGTATTTAATCTAGCTTTATTTTAGTATGTATGCATGCTTCTCAGTCTTTTGCTTATTGGGTGTTTTTTAAAAATGGCAGTGTGTTTCAAAACAGTACTTAGGTGACCACCATAATAGTCACAAACTCAATTTCTTCATGTAGTTTTATGTCTGCTTTCTTTTTTTCCTCTAATTTCTGTTTTAAAGTGTTAGTTGACAGTTTAAATAAAATTAACATCTCTTTTTCTGTGGCATATTCAACAGAAATATCATGACAAAACTTTAGAATTTATATTCTAGTCTATGTTTGAACATGTATATATCACAATAGAAGTGTACCATTTCAACACCAATTTAACCGTTGATTCATGTGTCTTTCCTCTAAAAATGACTGAAAGTCTTAATTTAGGGGAGAAATTCAGGAACTGATAGGTTATCATAAGCAGTATTAAGAAACTAAAGATACACGTGAGTGAATCTGTAGCTATGGTAGGGCATAGAAAGTGAGATTTTCATCGTAAAGTTTGGTTTTCTTTACCTTGATTTCCCTTCAGTATGAAACATTCTCTCTGTGGGGTGGCCTGGACCAGGGCAACCCTAATGTCCACCATCCACTCAGCAAGGGTATTAAACAGGTGTGGTTCAGAGAGTCAGCAGAAATTGTCAGGAATATTTGGAATTACTATGGAAGCCACACCAGCCTCTTGTAACAGCGCTGAGATTAAGACATCTTACTTGCTGAGGGTTGGTGAGAGGGAGTGAGGCCCACCAGTGGACTCTGTTCTGTGGTTTGAGGACCAGGCCTGCAGTGGGGGTGCCACTTCCCTGAAGGCTTTGCTCTGTCCTGCCCAGGGCATCCATGGACATAGGCTATGCAGGAATGGTAGAAAACATGCATATTCTTATCTGGTAACAAGAGAAGGGGGATCCTCTTTTCAAACCCCTGTAGATTGGGATCCCAACCATGGCTTACTCTTTGCTAGTATTTGTAGCTCATCTGCGGCCTCCTTTGCCTGGACCCCTTAGTACTTTGTGCTACCTCTGGGACTTTTCATACTCTGCCTGCCTCTGTAGGTATTTATAAACTTTCTCCTTGAGGGCTGCTGTGGCACCTAATTCTACTCTTAGCATTTGCCCTACTGGCACCTGTGTCCGCCTCCGATGGCATCGGGGTGTAACCAATCTTTGTAGACTTGTTCAGGGAATTACCGGTGACTGGCAGTGAATTGCTAAGACTAGATGCATCCATTCAAGATCTTGAAAGGAGCCTTAAGGCTGAAATTGCAGAACTCTTGGCTCTTGTTTTGCCTTTTATAAATAGCCAGTGTTTAAAAGCTTGCTGGGTGGCCAGCACAAGCATGGTATGTTGGAAAGCAAAATGGCCCGGAGGCCCAGGTTCTGTGTCCAGCCCTTTCATTACCGGCTGGGTAGTGCCCTAAGTCTCCCGGGCCTCAGGGGTCCTCATCAGGATGTATTTCCTACTGTCTCTGCACAAAGTCTCTGGTGATGGTTAGGGTCATAATTAATTCTGTAAAATGAGGTTCTTATTACATGTATAAATATTCTATGAACAGGAGAGGTTTATTTAAAAACCAATCACACCATTGATTTAGTCATTGTTTGCATCTGTGAATGATACATTTGGAAAGACTGGATTCTGTTACATTCTCCCCAAAGGTGCTGATCTTGTCTGCCTGTTTGCTTTAGCAGGCGACTAATTCGGCTGGCCTCCAGCCTCAAACCCTGCCTCCTCTACAAGGGCAGCAACTCGAATCTCAGTCATATTTTCCATCCTTCGTTTGGAGCTTGCCGTGCACAACTGAGACTTAGGGAACAGCCAGAGATTTGGGCCAAGGTTATACACGGAAGTGGGGACTCCCCTGCTCCTTTCCAAGATGTTTCCTCTCGGTTTCAGCTGCTGAGGCCACTGGCCCTGAGCTGTGTCTGGGTTCCTGTAGCATCTCCGTGTGGCCTAGACTAGGCCCCATCCTCATGTTGAAAGCCCTAGCGAAGGGAGGTGCATCCAGTGTGGCTCCCTTTTTGCCAGTCGCCGCCTGCTTTTGATCCCTCTGCAGTGCCTTGAGATAGTGGGTTTTACGGGTTTGCTCCGTGGCAGGGCTGACCCCCCAGGAGTTCCTCTGATGTGAAAAGTAGGCACCCCATTTGCAGTGCATGCTTTCCTTGCCTTCTGCTCCCAGGTCTGCATCTTACATCGGTTATGTTACCAAGCTAACAATTTGGATGCCTTATTTGTACTATTTTGGCAAAACCAAACAGGAAAATAGGGATGGGGCAGCAGTCTTTTATTTTTTTCTAGAGCTTGCTGTGCCGGTAATGATAGTTACTAGTTTGGATAAGAGTGGCCAGTGTTCTGAACTGAGACTACCGAGACCCCCAAGAGAAGTATTCTTAGGCATTATTATGAGTATGAACATTTTTGACCCCAGACTTCCATGCAGGCATTGGCCCCGGGGAGCTGGGCTGGACATGTGTGGGCTACACACATTCTTTCTGCTTAGATGGACGTTGGCTTGGCCTGAATTGCCTGCCACATGCTTCTCTTCCATGTTTCCACTTGGCCTGTGATTTGGGGGAGCACGGGGGAGAGTTGGTTTACAGTGAGAAGGGCTGTGGTCACCCTCTGAAGCAGGCGGCACTGGGCCATCTTACCACATTAGCCAGTAGCATTCCTCCAGGGGGGCATGACCCAGAAAGCGTGGAAGGACAGAGCCAAGAGGGAGCTGTGGCCAGTCCCCAGCTATTTATAATCCCTTCTCTCTTCCCTGCCACTGTTTATTTTTAACCAGGCTCTGAAGTCTGATGGGATGAGGCTTTGAGCTCCCTCTAAAGGTTTTAGTGTGCCACCTGTCAGTTATATATATATATTAAAAAAAAGTTATACCACTTTATTTGCCAGTGGTTACTTTAATCTGCAAGATTAAAATAAAGATTTTTGAAATGATCTGGGCTGATTTCATCTACTGTCTGTTTTTGGGACTGGATCTATTGCTAGAAATGGCTGAGAGCCTCTGGGTCAGTGTACAAATAAATCATTATTCCACATTAAAGTAGAAGATAATTCTGGGATCAGAGAATTTCCTTCACAAAATTCACATTTTCAAATAATATTTCTAAACTTTATTTAATGGGTGTGAATAAAGCTGCTGTGTTGGCATTGGGTACAATGTACAATTAATTGGGTACAATTAAATGTCTCTCAAGCAGCCTAGTAACTTTATTTTTTCCTTATATATTTCAGGGTTTCGAAAAAATGATGAAATGAAAGCTATGGATGTTTTGCCAATTTTAAAGGAAAAAGTTGCGTACCTTTCAGGTAAAGTTGAACTTTCTAATCTGTTCTATTGTTCTTTCTGACTGCTTCGGACACAGTATCAGAGTCTGAAATACTCACCTAGCTCACCTGCCATACACATAAAAGCACTGATATTCTTCTGATGGATTTTTAACTGCTTTATTCTTGTAGCATTTTCCTGAGAAATTTGTGCCCAAAGCACTTTCTTCTAGCTGGAAAGCATATTATAAGTCAGATAGCATAGTGATAAATATGTAATAGTGATCATAGTGATTAAAATATGTTTGTGCCTGCCATTCAGCAAACATTGGCTGTTTTACTCCAATGGGTTAAGTAGAACAACTGATTTTTTTAAAGTCTGTCATCTCAGCAAAAGTGATGGGAATGTGGCTGTACATAATATGTCCTGAAATCCCTTACCTCCGTTTCTTGTACTCTGGCCCTGGAGTTCCTAGAACCCATACTGTGGATTGAAGCCCTTGTGGTCTCTGCCAGCTAGGTCCTCCACTTGCTTAAGAATCTGGTCCTTGGGGCATCCTCAGTGTGATGACAGTCTGGACCAGTCAGTCTTCCAGGCTTTGGGGCACTTGACTGCCTTCTCCCCTCCTCAGAGAGGGTCAGTATTAGAGCATTTTGCACTTACTCCCACCTACATTAACAGAACAACCCATTGAGTATTACACCTTTTTGGCACCAGTTCACTTGTTACAAAACAAAGGTTTCCATATTTTCCTACTCTGCGTTAGCAGGAAGTAAATCTGGACTGTAATGTGCTTTTAAACAATTTTCCTGGATGAGTTCCCCTTGATAAATTTTTATCTTTCATAAACAGGCATACTGATCTGATTGTGTCTTCTTGAACATTTTATTATTTTTATTTATTTTTTTTTAGGTTTTGTTTCTCTTTTTTTCTTTAGTTTTCATAGATTTTTAAAAATTTAAGTATAGTTGATATACAGTCCTGTATTAGTTTCAAGTATATAACACAATGGTTCACCAGTTACCCACATTATTAAGTCCTCACCCCCACTAATGCAGTTACTACCTGTCAGTGTAGAACGATGTTACAGAATCACTGGCTATATTCTCCATGCTGTACTACCGTCCCTGTGACCAACCTATCTTATGATTGAGAATTTTTGTGTCCCTTTATCACACTCTTCCTCCCCACTCACCCCTCCGCCATGGTAACCAAGAGTCACTTCTCTGTGTCTGTGAGTCTACTGCTGTTTTGTTCATTTTTTTGTTTTGTTTTGGAATTTATTTTTGCATCTATGTTCATCAGGGATATTGGTGTGTAATTTTCTTTTTTTGTAGTGTCTCATAGGAAGTGTTTGTAAGTATTCTCTCCTCTTCTACTTTTTGGAATACTTTAAGGAGGATGAGGATTAGCTGTTCTTTAAATGTTTGGTAGAAGTCAGCTGTGAAGCCATCTCATTCTGGATTTTTGTTTCTGGGAGTTTTTTGATTACCAATTAAATTTCATTGCTGGTAATTGTAATTGGTCTGTTTAGATTTTCAGTTTTTTTCTGGGTCAGTCTTGAAAGGTTATACTTGTCTAGGAATTTGTTAATTTCTTCTAGGGTTTCCAATTTATGAGCATATAATTTTTCATAGAATTCTCCAATTAAATTCTTTGTGTTTTTGTAGTATCTGTTGTGTATTATTCCTTTTTCATTTCTGATTTTGTTACTTGGGTAAGTCTGGCCAGGGGTTTGTCTATTTTGGTTGTTGTGTCAAACAACCAGCTCTTGGTTTCATTAATTTTTTCTGTTGTTTCATTCTTATTTATTTCTTCTCTGATCTCTGTTATATCTCCTTCTACTAACTTTGGGTTTAATTTGTTCTTCTTTTTCTAGTTTCTTTAGTTGTGAGCTTAAACTGTTTGATTGGGGTTGTTCATGTTTCTTAAGGTCAGCCTGAATTGATTGCTGTGTGCTTCCTTTTTAGGACTGTTTTTGCTGTGTCCCACACATTTTGAACTGTTGTATTTTTGCTTTCATTTGTTTCCATATATTGCTTGATTTCCTCTTTGATTTGTTCATTGATCCATAGATTATTTAGAAGCATGTTGTTTAGCCTCCATGTGTCTATGGGGGTTTTTTGTTTTCTTTGTGTAATTTATTTCATGTCTTATACCATTGAGGTCTGAGAAGCTACTTGATATAATTTCAGTCTTTTAAAATTTATTGAGGCTCTTTCTGTGGCCTAGTATGTGATCTGTTCTGGAGAACGTTCCATGTGTACTTGAGAAAAATGTGTATCCTGCTGCTTTTGGGTGAAATGTTCTGTACATATCTGTTAAGTCCATCTGATCTAGTGTGTTGTTCAGTGCCTGTTTCTCTCTTTACTTTCTCTCTGGTTGTTCTGTCCATTGATATAAGTAGTGTGTAAAAGTGCCCTAATATGATTGTGTTGATGTCTATTTCTCTGTTTAGTTCTGTTAATATTTGTTTTACAAATTCAGTTACTCCTTTTTGGGTGCATATTTATAATGGTTATATCCTCCTGTGGGGCTGACTCCTTTATCATTATGTAATGACCTTCTTTGTCTCTTGTTACTTCCTTTGTTTTGAAGTCTATTTTGTCTGATAGAAGTACTTCTACTCCAGCTTTTTTCTCCCTTTTATTTTCATGAAATATCTTTTTCCAACCCTTCACTTTCAGTCTCTATATGTCTTTAGGTCTGAAATGAGTCTCTCTTAGGCAGCATATAGATGGGTCTTGTTTCTTAATCCATTCTGCCACCTATGTCTTTTGATTGGTGCATTCAGTCCATTTCCATTTTAAGTAGTTATTGATGGGTATATACTTACTGCCATTTTATTAATTGTTTTTGGTTGTTTTTGTAACTCCTCTCTGATCCTTTCTTCCGGTGTTATATTCTTGTTATTTGATAGGTTTTTTTAGTGTCATGATTGATTTCCTTTAAAAAAATATTTGTGTATCTATTATAGGCTTAGGCTTGTGGGTACCGTAAGATTCATAGTGTCCTAAATATATAACAGTCTGTATTTGCTCTCTCTTTTTCCCCCTCCTCCACACTTTATGTATTAGATGTCATAATCTGCATTTTCTGTGTATCCCTTGACCGATTTTTGTGTATAGTTGAGTTTACTACTTTTTTTTAAACTTCATACTTACTTAATAAGTAACTGGAATTGATCTGCTACCTTTACTGTGGGGCTATTTTCACTGATGCAAAGTATTTAGATCTATATAGAAGTCCCTTTAACATATCCTGTAAGACTGGTTTAGTGATGGTGAATTCTTTTAACTTTCATTTATCTGGGAAATCTCTCCTTCAGTTCTTATCATTATCTTAAATGAATGATTGCCTTACTGGGTAGAGTATTCTTGGTTGAAGGTCCTTCTGTTTCAATACATTAAATATTTCATGCCACTCCTTTCTGCCCTGTAAAGTTTCTGCTGAGAAATTTGCTGAATGTCTTTGGGGTTGTCATTACGGCTAATTTTTTGCCTCTCTCTAGCTGCTTTCAGTACCCTCCCTTTAGCCTTAATATTTGTCATTTTAATTATTATATACCTTGGTGTTGTCTTCCTGGGGTTCCTTTTGTTGTCTGCTCTTCCAGGGCCTAAATGTGTATTTCCCCAGATTGGGGAACTTTTCAGCAATTGTTTCTTCAGAGAGACTTTCTACTCCTTTGTCTTTTTCTTCTCCTTCTTATACCCTTGTTATGCCAAGTCTGTTTCATTTGGCATTGGCACACAGCTCTTTTAGCATCCTCTCAATTCTAGAGATTCTTTCTTCTCTGTGTTCCTCAGGTTCATTAGTTTCCTGTTCTCTGCTTTCCAGTTTATTGATTGTCTCCTCTGCTTGCACCAATCTATTATTCATTCCCTCCATTGTATTTTTCATTTCGGTCACTGTATTCTTCAGTGCTGAGTGCCTCTTTTCCAACTCTTCTGTCTCTGTTGAAATCCTCCCTGAGATTGTTCGTACTTTTACACACATCAGTGAGCATATTTATGACCTTTATGTTGAAATCTTTGTCAAGAAGATTGGTGATCTCCATTTCATTTTGTCGTCTTCCTGCTGTCTTATCCTGTTCTTTTGTTAGGAACATATTCCTCTGTTTGGGTTTCTTTGTTTTAGATCCACTCTGCCTCCTGGTCTAGAGAGTCGTGGCTTCATGAAGGAGGCACCCTGTGGTGCCCAGGAGCTCAAGACTCTTTGCTCACCAGTGCCTGGTTCTCCTTTGCAGTGGAGCCACAGTTGCTGTTGGTGGGCCTTGGGTAGGGCCATATTTCTACCAGTGTGTGGGCAGTGGCTGATCTCTGTCAGCAGAGGCCCTTTGTGAGCCTTGCAGCTTTACTTCTGCTGGGATCTTTGTGGGCAGGATGCTCTCTGCCTGCCCTGAGCGATGGTGGCCTGCTGGGCTGATGGGATGGGCAGGGAAGATGCGAACAGAAATGAGGCACAGGGCTGGGCAGCCAGCGAGGAGGAAGGAGTGCTCCTGGCAGGCCCCTCCTTTGTTGGTCTTAGAGAGGGCCAGGAAAGCATCCTTTTGCCTGTCAGGCAGCAAGTCTGACCACTGCTGGCTGGGTGTGCACAGATAGGTGTGCAGAGAAGTGCCTCAGAGCTGAGCTGTCAGTGAGGGGGATGGTGCATTTGGAGCTGGTTCGCCCAAGTGCCTGACCAGTTGGGCAGTTGGGCTGGGGGAGGGCTTGGGAAGCATCATCCGCCTGTCCTTTCTCCTGCAGACAGAGCTTCATCCAACCCCCACCCCTCTGGCACCCTTCCCGTTGCTGGTAAGTCTTTCACACTGCTGCTCTGTGTTGGTTCTCAGTGGGACTGTCAGAGCAGCCCTGCCCTCCACAAGTGGCAGGAGTCTTAGCCTCCCAGAGTGCTCCAGCTCTCCCTGGTGTCCAGCCCTGTCAATGACAAAGCCCATTGCAATGTGAACTTTTATTCCCAGAGCAGATCTCCAGGGCTGCGTTTGCAGAGTTCCTGAGCACTTATCCCTTCCCAGCTCCATTCTTCTTCCTTCTGCCTATGG